GAAAGACCTAAATAATTTAATTGCATAGGTGCCTCTTAGGAAGCATCATGTTATTTTTGTGAAACATAAGTGAGTAATCATCAGTGTGTTAGCATGTAGGTCAGATGTATTGGAGATTCATGTACTTATATAATAGAACTGTTGGTGTGGAGACGAAACTTCAGGTAATCATGACAAGATATGATTCCCCTCATCAGTGGGCCTCAAAAGTTTGGGGATCACTGGCCTGGATATAACCAACACAAAATTCATCTGCTAATAACTGCAATTGTCATTCTTGTCATGATTACCTGAAATTTCATCTACAAACCAACAGTTCTATTATATAAGTATAATAAAGGGTCTGTGTCTGTAAGAGGTCAAAGGCTGAGGATGAAGGGATGAGACCGGGGCTCCCAAAAGGTCCAATGGTGCACCCTCACTTTGGGAACCTCAGATTAAGGCCATGGCCCATTTTTTAGTTGTGTAGGATGTTCCATCTGCAAAAAATAAAATTATGTGATTGCTTAAGACACATTTTATAGGTAAGTCACTAACCACATACAAAATAAATAAGCAGGATATAAAAATCCACAACATCTAAAGCAGTTTGAGCAGACTAAAGTGTAAAACTCCTCTCAGAAGGGTGATTTGTACTAATCTTTGGTGTTTGTGCTGCTCTGTTGTTTAATAAACTGATTAAGTCTAGGTATCTAATGTCTGGTTAATAATCAAACCCTTTTATAAATGCTACATTTATGATCTTTGATGATTTAAATTTCCCAAGAAGCTGTAAAGTAAAATGAGACATTTTCTTGTAACAAGGAATAATATAATACAGGAGTGGGGAACCTTTTTGGATCGGGGGACTGCTGACCCACAGAAAAATCCATTGGGGAACAAGTGAGAATCCATCAGTGTGTGGATTTTTTCCATCCACATGTGGAATAATTTTTTTCATGTGATTGAGGCATATGTGAATGTGCACCCCCACTGGAAACAAACAAAAACAAAATCTAGCTGTGGGCACTCTGCTAATCAGCTGGAAGGCATCTGAATCTCTCCTGAGTGGCTGCACAAGCACACAGCTTACAGGGAACACTTGTCACAAGTGATGAGCTATATTAAGCTGTACTGTGGCACTTGTTGGGTTGAGGCTCAAGTTAGATCTAACAAATATTTTTAAGGCAAGACCTTGAGTAATGATTAATTACTTAAAAGTGGGAAGCTTATTAGGACAATTTCACCACAGTCACCTCCAGGACCTGACATTGCTTATCAACATCCCTTTGTTACACAAACTTATAACTTTTTGTTATCTTTCATTATCTTATGTGTTAGTATCTCATTTTTATGTAATTCTCACCACCCTCGTCAGCACAGGGTTGGTATTGGTTCAGATTGGTCTTTTCTAGCTTTTTAGTTACTGACTTTTCTTGTTCTCACAGACATTATTCATGTGCAATTTCTTACACATACACAGTTCTACTTATACTTACAGGCTTTGGTGTTATCAGAACATACTTAAAAATCCACAGAAGGCTTCTGAACAGGCCTAACTATGCCTTCACAGCTGCATAGTTGGTTTGATGTATTTTAGTTATGTGAATGGCACTTAAATAAATATGTTTTAAGGTGGGCAGGAAAGTGGCCTGGACTAAAGAGATAGATGGGAGTTGTTTCTATAGAGGATCCAGAACAATTTTTAAATCTTTTTATAACTTAAGGAAACTCCCACACTGAAGAGTTCTTGCTGTATTGATCTTTCTTTCCTGGTCTTAGCAGGCATCCTCTGTTACTATTGCATACTTACTTACTCATGAATGACCTCAGACTCCACCCTTCTTACTCACTTGATTACCTTTCGTTATGTAATATAGAAATGGGATTCTTTTTCTTGCAAGTATTTAGTCAGAGATGAATAAACATGCTGTGTAGTCAAGTGTCTTGTGTAGGTGATGACAAAATATGATAATGAAATGCCTTGGCTTGCCACACAGACCACATTATCAAATTCTAGGGAGCATTTCCCTGCTCCCTAGAATGATTTCCCTGCTTCTGATAGTGTCATCCTCTCTATTTCATGTCAGAGATTTAAAAAACAAACAAAAAAAACCCTGGCTCATAAATGTGTCAAAATTGCCTTTGATGTGCACTTGGGGTAGGGTTTTTCTAACAGATGTCAGTTCTCAACAAGTTGGGAACTACTTTTTATTGTGGAAGAAGAAAACATGAGAAGTCTGTGAATCTGAAGGAGGAAGGCAATTTTGAATAATTGATTTCATGAATCCGAGGAAAGGAAGGAATCCAAACAACAGAATAAAGTCAATGGATGTCTAAAAAGCAGAGTTTAGCAAACTCGGAGAACTGATAAGTAAGGTAAGAAAATATAAGGGATGAAGGCATTAAGGAGAGCAGGTAGTTTGTCAAAGTGACAATATTCAAAGTACAGTTATAGACTATCCTGATGCTAAGGAAAGATAGAAAGAACAGAACACTACACTACAGAGAAGATTAAAGCTGTTGCTGTCGATCTTCCAGCGTTCAAATTAGTGAGACTAGTGAAGTCATGCTAATTCAAACAGAGGGGCACTCCGGTCGATGCTGGTAGTCCTGCTTTCATGAGGCATAAGGGAAGTCAAAGGGAGAGTGTTCTCCCTTTTGACTTCCTGCAGTGTGGACAGTGCCAAAAGTCGTGATAAGGTACTTCGACTTCCTCTATGCAATTAATGTAGCTGAAGTTGTGTATCTAAATTTGACTTCATCCCATAGAATAGACGTACCTAAGGGTCCAATATGGCTCTTTAATGACCTGATTCAAAAAGGAATCCTACAAAAAGTGGCAACAGGGACAAATTGCTAAGGAGGAGTTCAAAAGACTAGCACAAGCATGTAGGGACAAATTCAGACAGGCTAAGCTGAACTAGCCAAGTGAATTTGGAACCATTAATAATTACATTCAAGAACTCATGAAGGAGTGGTGAGATTCTAGAGGCCTGGAGAAGGGTGAAAATCATACCTATTCTCAATAAAGGGAACAAGGAGGACCTGAGAAATTATTAACTAGTCAAACTAACTTTGAAACGTGGAAAGATACTGGAACAAATTATTAAACAGTCAGTTTGTAAGCACCTAGAGGATAATAGGTTTATAAGGAGTAGTACATTTTATATGGTGCCCCACACTAGATAACCAAAATCATCCTCTTCTAGCCAAATGGAATTTTGATTAGCAACTAGCATTCTACATACTGAAGTGAGGAATTGATACGTACAGAAAGTGAAAAGCCACACAATGAGAGCTTAGGTATACCACAATGGCTTGTCTGAACTACAGGTGCTACAGTGGCACACTATGGCACCATAGCTGTCACTGTAGTGCCATAATTCCTATAGCAATGGAAGGAATTTTTCATAGTTAAATGCCTTAACTATGTATTTCCATACCTTTTAACTTTAGGTACAAACTAGCAGTAAACTTCAAAATTTATCACAGTGTGGATTTTTAAATATGCATTGTAATGCTTTTTTGCAGGCATCATTTTTTCAGGGACTGTTCCTGAATCCCATATGTGTAGGAAACTTCCTGTTCCTCCATTTGACTTAAGTAGGAGGTGGGGGCCAGTCAGGAACATTGGTATTCCACCCATCAGGGCTAAGAATGAAGCTTTCTATCTGAGCAGGACTTTAAGGAGTCCCAGTTCTAGCTGATGTCAGTAGTCTTGGATGAATTGTGATGACCCTTACTTACCTACCCCAAGAAAGTTTGAGGTCCACGCAAGGGTCTTGACAAGGACATAACAGCCTGTGCATAGGAATCCTGTGTTCCTCTCACAGGGATGTTGGACTGATGGAACAATAATGGTTGATCATGCGACTTCTGGGCACTTTGGGGAAAGTTTCTCCTTGGAAACTGCAATGCATCCAATAAGAATATCATGCCATTGGCATTGTTTTGACTAAGTTCTATGTAACTTCAGGGATGCACGATTCAAGGTTGTTACTTTCACACTTCCTTGTGTGTCTCTTCATCTCATCATGCTTTTTATTTCCTATCCTTCATTGTCAAATTTTGTTAAACTTGGAATTAGACTCCATGGCTACGTCTATACTGGCATGATTTTGCGCAAGAACTCTTTTTTGGAAGAGTTCTTGTGCAAAAGCTCTTCCAGAAGAGAGCATCTACACTGGCATGTGCCTTTGCGCAAGAGATGTGCTTTTGCGCAAGAGCATCCTTGCCAGTGTAGACGCTCTCTTGTGCAAGAAAGCTCTGATGGGCATTTTAACCATAGGGCTTTCTTGCACAAGTAATTCATGTTAGTAGATGTGCAGCAGTGCAGGGAGGGGCAGCTGAAGTGCGGGCACTTGATAGCCTCCCTGCCAAACCAGTCAGGATCACCTGTCAGTGGTTCCAAGATCTACCAGTAGATCCCCATCTACTGGTTGGTAACCACTGTTTTAGACCATAGTGGGGCAAACAGCAGCCCTTCCCTTCTTGCGCCATCTTCCCCAGGTGTTATCCTGGAACTGTCCAATGTTATCCTCGCTGCTCAGCTGTTCCCCTGGAACTGTCTTTACAGAGCCCTCCTCTCCCTATCACAACACAGGCATCTCTCTCCCCACACCTTGGTTACATCTGTTATAGAGCCTCCCCCATGCTATACCCTTTAGGCTGTGTCTACACTGTCACGTGCTTACGTGAAAACAGCCACTCTTGCACAAAAACAGGCCGCCTGTCTACACTGGCTGCGCGTTCTTGCACAAGTAAACTGACGTTGTACTGTAGAAAATCAGGGCTTCTTGCGCAAGAACTCTGATGCTCCCTCTCAGGAAGAAGCCCTCCTGTGCAAGAGCTCTTCCAGAAGAGGCTAGTGTAGACAGGCAACATGAATTTCTTGCGCAAGAAGCCCCTATGGTTAAAATGGCCATCAGAGCTTTCTTGTGGAAGAGTGCGTCTACACTGCCATGGATGCTCTTGTGCAAAAGCACATCTCTTGTGCTAAAGCACATGCCAGTGTAGACGCTCTCTTGTGGAAGAGTTTTTGCACAAGAAGCTGCCAGTGTAGACATAGCCTTAGAGTCCTCTCCTCACCTCACTAACATCCACATTCATAGGTCTCCATACCATTTATCTAGCCACTGTTTTAGGTGAGCGAGGACCTCAGATGTTCAGGTGAACTTTTTAATGTAACCAATCTGTGTGGAATTTGTCCCTTATACACAGTTCTACCATCTGCCAAATCTTAATCTTGTCAATATTTTATTTCAAGTACTTGTTCCCAACTTAGAATCTCTGCATCAGGGTGGATACGGTAGACAAGAGGACATAGAGTGACAGAAGGGCTTGAAATACTGCCTGAAAAAGTGGCATTGGCTTCCACCTGGGGCTTTGTAGCAGTGCAGCAATTTTAGTCTTGATTAACTGGTTGAAAATAAAAAACCATGGACTTGAAAATGCTGCTCTAGTGTCAATGGCTCTTCAGGTGCTGTACAGTTCCTAAACTCTGCATTGCAAATGCATTATTTGAGTTGAACAGCATGGGAGCACACTTGGCAAATATAACTCTGAAGTCTTTACAGGAGCAGAACTCGGAACATTAAGTCTCAAAGATGGGAAGAAGCATGGCTTGCGGCAAACCTCCACTTCTTTGTTTTTCAGTTGCAGTGATTTTCAACCCTTGGCCTGTGGATCCTCTGGGGGCTGCAGACGATTTCTATGCTTTCCAATGTGGTCCATGCCTCCATTTGAAATGTAATAAACTGCAAATGAAAATAAGGTTGAAAGCCACTGCTCTAAGGCAAAATATCAATTTGTTTTATCTCAGCTTGGCTGTGGTTCCCTAATTTTGGAAACTCATCACAAACCCGGGGATTAAAATTGTTGCAGAACTTGTCATGCAAATTAGGTTTCTTGGTTGCATAAGTTATATTGAAATTAATGTTGCCTAATATATGGCATCTTGGTTAGAGGTGAGCCTTTAGCCATAATGAGGAGTGGAGCAGTTGAAACACCTCTTGTAATTCAGTAACCAACTTTCGTATTCACAGGAGCATTAAGGAATACAACTTGTTCAGATTTAGTATCTTACACCATAACAAGAGGGGTGAGTTTTCTTGGCTTTGTATGGAATGTGCTCTAATTTTTTTGTGATGTAGAAGAAAAATTGAGAACTTCCGTTCTTAAAAGTAGTTTATGGCAACTAAGTTGCTTTGATATGGGATATTAGTATAAACTGTATGTAAGGTACAGCAAAATGAATATTACATTAATGCTAGTACTGAGTAATTGTATATCTTTGTACATGGTGAATGCACTCTACATACACTAATAAAACCTGAATGAGAGGTAGGCAAGTGGTCTATACCTTCTTCATTTCATAAAATAGAAAACTGAGGCAAAAGTTTTAAGTGGATAAGCTGGTGTTCCCGTCTAGCCTTAAACTTTATGACTACGAGTGATTGTCCAAATCCACAAAGGGTATTAGGCTTAATTACACTGTTCAATTTCTGTTTTAATAACTCATAAGTTCCTGTAGGAGGGAGAAATGTTTTAATATTTTTAAAATAGTGTGGGGGAGAGAGGGTTCAAAATCCTGGCCCATTAATATCAGTGGGGCCAGGATTCTCCCCCACATATTTATATTTCAGAACATTATCAAAGTTCCAACTGAAAACAAAATAAATTAATATACTTTATCATCTTCTGTCTTCCTTCTAAGGGTATGTCTACACTACAGAGTTAGTTCGAACTAACGGACGTTAGTTCGAACTAACTTTCATAGGCGCTACACTAGCGTTCCGTTAGTTCGAACTTAATTCGAACTAGCGGAGCGCTTAGTTCGAACTAGGTAAACCTCATTTTACGAGGATTAAGCCTAGTTCGAACTAGCTAGTTCGAATTAAGGGGTGTGTAGCCCCTTAATTCGAACTAGTGGGAGGCTAGCCCTCCCCAGGTTTCCCTGGTGGCTACTCTGGCCAACACCAGGGACGCTCGTCTGCCCCCCTCCCGGCCCCGGACCCCTTAAAGGGGCACGGGCTGGCTACGGTGCCCGTGCCAGGTGCAAGCCTGCCAGCACCCAGACAGCAGACCCTGCACCTG